TATGTACCAAATAATTATTAGTTGTTTTCAACCATTCTACAAAGCAAATCAGCTCTCTCTCTTTGTCAGCATGCTGCTTTTAATAAACACAATAAAGAAAGAAATGTCAAGAAAAGGTACTATTAACTACAGACTGACAGAAGGAGATGGCAGACCCTGAAGGGCATTTAACAAACCAGCCAGGAGGAAGCAAACAATGTCTCTTTGTAGAAGACCTTGATTTCAGGCCCTGATATCTTTGGAATAAAAAACCCTCAAGCCACAGGGCTGAAAAAGACTTGTACCTGATGTCTTAAAAAACAAAGTCCAGCCAGAAAATTCCAGCTTTCCCCAGTCTGTTAGCCCCTCCCCATGCCCAATGCAATAGACAACAATTCATAACATCTCTACCAGCATGGATCAACATCTCACTTTCTAACCAAGATTGTGCAATGTAGTTGTGTAAGGTAATAGTGATTTTTCATATTACTTTATTAAACAGTACCAATATGTGTCAATTATAGGTTCTTTTATTTCTTATTCACCTGAAAGCATTTTGTACTCACTTTGGTTAAAATATCTATATTAAATTATTGAATTTAAATATGTAATAGCCTACAGTATAGACAACTGTGCCTTGGACAAATGTATGACATCAGACCAAAATGCAGCTTATGGAATGTTTAATATGATGTAAAGGATGTTTCATAAGATACATGGACACAGTTTCAGCTGCATACAGTGGCAAGAAAAAGTTTGGGATCCCCATAAGATTATCTCATATTTCCAACTAAAATGTTATCAGATCTTACCCCATATTCCTAGAGGAAGAATAATATATAACCTGATTAAACAAATGACACAAAATCATAACATGTTTTCAACATTTATTTATCTAAAACTCATTCAATACTCAATGTGTAAAGAAAGTATCTAGACTTTTAGATTGGTGTGGCAAAGGTGCAACCTATAGGCCTTGATTGTTTTTATGGCCCACAAAAATTTATGTGATCTTTAGTGAATTTTAGATTAGCAGTAATATTCTTGTAGAGAGCAACGAACTCCTCCTAGCTATCCTCCCATGTTTAATAAGTATAGCAGATGATAAACCTCTTTTCTTGTACAACAATCAGTCTCCAAAATCCTGTTGGAATAAACTTCATCTGCCACTGAAAAGTCAGTAAAGGAGCCATCCTAGCTTCCCTGGGAAGGGAATACCAAAGTCTGGGGGCAACCATGGAGAAGGTCCTCTCCTGCACTCCTTAAAAAAAAAATCCTATTAAGGTTCTAGAATCAAAAGAAGTGTCTCCCTCAAAGAATTTAAATCTTAGAGCTTACGCGGGCTCATACGGGAAGATAGGGTCATTCAGATAGCCTGGAGCCAAGATATGTCTTTTGATCATGCATTTTTCCACATAACCATAATCACCATGGATCCAAGGCAAGAACCTCATATAAAGACATGAAAGGTCATATGGTAAAGAGAAAATTTATAACATTTCTAATATTTTATAAGATGGGGCTTCCCATACTCATGCAGACCAACCTCATTATCCTCTTTAACTGAGTTTCAGGAAGCAAAGATTCAGCTAACTTTTACACTTAGGAGCTTATTGCATGGCTTATTAAACCAGCTTACCTCTTCCAACTTCAATTTTAATTCAGCCGGCATCCTGATACTATCACAGGGATTTTGCCACTTAATCCACTACCCGGGTCCATCCCAGATCCATCCCCACTCCCAGGAGCGGTCTGGCAGCCATTTTCTTAAGCCGGAAAACTCCCGGTTTCAAAAAGAGGCACTGAGCACCCCTGGAAATGGGGATGGACCCAGGATGGACCTGAGTGGTGGACTCAGTGGTAAAATCTCTGCAATGGTATCAGGATGCTGGCTGAATTAAAATTTAAGTCAGAAGAGGTAAGCCTGTTTAATGAGCCATGTGATAAGCTCCTTACTCTGACTCTTACAATTCAACGGGAATAAAATCAGTTTGCTTTGGCAATCCATTTCAGATAGGAGAGGAAAATGCTAAAGTTTTGTTTCTTCCCACCTGTTTCTCCATCTCTCTTTCTCTCTCTCACACACACACACACACACATCCACAGAGGGAAAGAAAGAAACAATAATTTAAACGATCAAAACAGTAGGTTCCACTGATTCAGGTGCAAAGTCTAATACTGTAAAAAACAACAACAACTGAATACTTTTTACAAGGCACAACAATCACTTTCAAATGTCAGTCCTGAAGAAAAAGCCCAACTCTACTGCATGATCAGGCTGTTATTAGAATTGCTTTAATATTAAAAAAAAAGTTTGTGGGTCTCCTGTCATGGCCCTAGACCAGAAAAGCCCAACCGCCATGGATCCAAGGTGAGAAGGCACCTGAAAGGTCACATCTGCATCTACAACAATTTGCAGATCAAAAGGTCAGGCTTAGGAGCTGCAAAGCAGGACATTCGCACCTAGGAGATTTATGATTACTAGCCAGGATTTGTCCGGCTGAAAATGAGATAACATTAACATCCCATCTCCCTTCTTTGGAAATTATCTATTTCAAAGAGTTATCAATTGGGAATCCTTTGATATACAATAGCAAATCTTTGCCTCAGGCTAGGTTTAAGGGTATAAAAGATCCCAAAAATCTCAGTCACATTGGGTCTGGTGAGATTTCATGGTAACCCTGCACCACTGTGAACTCTGACTTGGGTCCCGGCTCTTCCCATTGTCCTTTCCCTTTCATAATGGTTGAGTTTATCTATCTTCATTCATCGTTGAAGCAACCTCTGTCAGGTAATATCACCATTAGAAAGCATTCTGTTTCCTATCCAAGCTAACTACTTTAATCCTGAGTTCTTGTGTGTATGAGTGAATGTTAAAGTGTCTTTGTATGTTTGAATCCCCTAATAAATCACACTCATTGAAAAGCTTTGTCTCTATCAGTCTATTCCCTAGCCACCTCCATAAACATAGGATAAAAGATCCCATTGGATACTTGAACTTTAATAATTCCTCAGGTTCAATTTCTTCTTACAAGGCCTACAATAATAAGAGAATCAACCCTTGAAGGAAAAAATTAATCTGTGCATGAGAAATTATTTGCTTTGATTGTAGAAACAAATCAGGGTTACCTCAGTAAGAACAAGGACATTAATGGAACCAGAGGGAGTTGGTTTCTTAAGGTGGGGGAAGACACACAGTTTTTGAATGGGGGAAAAAAACAAAATCTATTACCCATGAAATGGGAAAACAAAAAACCCTACTACACACATTTCATGTAGGCTGCTACAAAAAAGGAAAGAAAGAAATCCATTAAATGGCAGAGGCAATGCCACCCTAGTGTTCAGATTAGAGGACTTGGAGATCTCACCACCACTACCACTACCTTAAAACTGACAATAGAGATAATCAAAATTCTTTAAACCTACACATCTCCAGGAAGAATATCATGACAAGAAAAAAGATAATGAAAATTATGCCAGTCATAGACACCCAGAAGTTTCTGATTCTGCCTAAGGAAATCTAAAATAACTGGGTAACAAATTGCATCAACCTGAGAAAAAAGAACATGGCCCATTTTTTGCCCCTAAGTAATTTGAGTGTCAGAATAAGATAATTTAGAAAGAAACTTCACAAAGGCAAATTAAGGCTCTAAGATTATAAATAAAAATGAAAAAAAATACAAGGACTGAATCAATTACAATACTATTAATATCTCAGGTCTCTCTTCTGGAAAGAAAAAAAAGATCAAGGCCTCAGCTAGGGATCAAAGTGATTAACTGACTAACCAGCAACCAAGAAAGATGCAGATAAGAAGTGGCAGATTATAAGCACACAGGGAATCTAAACTGGCAAAACAGAGGCTTTGCATTGCTGAAAAGAAAAGATCCAGCACAATGCAAGCTGCAGTATATACAAACACTGACAAAGATTATAAGCGAGCCTTTAAAAGGTGTGGGCTGTCATCTGCAGAACATACATTAATATAACCAATTGTGAATGGTTTCAGCTGAAATTGAAAAATGTTGTACGCTTCCTGTATAACTGGAGGGTTATTAATCAAACAACTCCCAATACAGGAAATGCTTAGATGTTTATGACTGTGGAAATTGCTTGGAGCATACTTTATCATTTAAAATACATTTCCCATAGGAAAACCTTCAATACCTGGTATATAATTTATATAAGAAATAAAATAAAAGCTCCACTTTTGTTTCATTATACAGTATGACCCCCATATCCACAAGGGATACATTCCCAGACTTACCATAGATAACGAAGTATGGATAATGACAAACCCTGTATTTCTGCCAGAAGTTGACCACAGAGTTATGCTGGAGGACCTCCAGGTGCCTAGAAAGGTGGTCTTGCTAGACATCTGGAGGTCCTCCAGTACAGCTCTATGGTTAACATCCACCAGATGCCTAGAGAGGCCTTTTTTCCTGTGGGTAAGTGAAACCAGAGTTACCTGTCCCACAGAGGTCGTACTGTATTCTTAACCGACCCATTCTTAAATTTAATTAATTTTGATATGTAATATTTTCTATTGTAATTGATATTTCAATTTCCTCCACTGACAGGGTTGGTATTCACCAAAGCATGCAGACAAATAACAAAAACCATGTGCAATTTGTTGTTTCCATACAGATTTCAATTATAGAGGCTATCTGGATAATTTAAAAAAAGGCAGTAAAGCACATATTCATTCTAGACATTCAATCAGTGTTGAATGACTGTAGATGGGAAGTGGTGTTTGGCTGAAGGGTCTACCCCAAACCACACACATTTATTTCAACATCACAAGAAAACTTGTACATGGCTGTTAGAATCACTCTGCAGAACTAGGAATCCAACCTTTTTTTTTTTTTGGCAAAAGTTGAAGCCCTGCTTGTGTGCTTTCAAGAAATTTCTGATTTATAGCAACCTATCACAGTAAACCTAACACAGAGTTTTCTTGGCAAAATTTGTGGGTTTACCTTTGCCTTCCTCTGAGAGTGTATGACTTGTCCAAGTTGGTTTCCATGGCCAAACAGAGTTTCAAACTCTGATCTCCAGAGTACTAGTCCAACATTCAAACCACTACACCATGCTGGCTCTCAAAGCCCTGATTATCCTCACATTTATAAGGACATATTCTTACTGTTTCAGCATTTTTCCAAAGTGAGTATTGAGATGAGGCCTAGGGAGAAGTCAGACCTTATACAAAGAAGCAGAACTGTTGTGAATATAAGAATTTCACTGTTTAATCAAACTATGAAAATTGCATCCCTCTGTCCCTAGGTCATTTATTATCAGTAGTATGTCCAAAGTGTAGCTGTACTGAGAGTTGCTTTCTGTATTAATTCCTGACCATTTATTTCCAAAACTGTTATGAAAATTATTGATGTTTGCCTAGGTCCAGTGGCATCCCTAGGGGGGTGCAGTGATGCAGCCTGCACCGGGTGATACCTCAGAAGAGGGTACTGCTTTAAATATACTATAGTTCCTGCTTTAAATATGATATCCTAAGGGATATCATATAAGTGTACAGGTTGAGTCTCCTTTATCCGGAATTCCAAAATCCAAAATACTCCAAAAACTAAAAACATTTTTCATGCGTAGCTGAGATACTGATACCTTTGTTTTATGACAGTTCAATGTACATGCTCAAAATTATTTAAAATATTGTATAACCTTCAGGCTATGTGTATAAGATGTATGTTAAACATAAATGAATTTTGTGTTTACATTTGGGTCCCATCTCCAATATCTCATTACCTGTGTATAAGCAAATACAAGTATTCCAAAATCCCCCCAAAAATCCAAAATCCAAAACACTTCTTGTCCCAAGCTGCTTGAAAAATGGAGAGTCAACCTGTACAAGGATATAGGGTTTCCCAGCATCAAAAATAGATAAGATTTCATGAGTGGTTTCTTATAAGATTAAGCCAATTTAGGAACTTAGCATAGCAGGTGTTCATAGTGCTAGGTGTTATAATTATGGGGGGGGGGGGGGAGTGTGAGAAGAAGAGTAAGCCAATCCTTGCTGATGCTACCAAGGTTGTTGAGGCTCCAAATAGCTTTCTTGTGAGGCAGAAATGTCTAACAAGCACAATCATGTAGACAAAGTGTGCAAAAAAAGTCTATCAACTTCCCTAGAAGAAAAGGTGGGCAGACATATTTCAAACACAGACTATTAAGGTAGTGTCTCAAACATCTATGTCTCAAAAATGCAGGGGAGGGTGGAGATACAAAATAATATGTGACTGATTTGACTGAACTAATTCTACTAATGGTTGGCATGAGATGGGTATACTGTATTTTTGGTAAATGTATTTAAATAAAAGGTTCTCTGACAGAGTTTAGCTAGATTAACTGTTTTAGTAAAACTGATTAATATAAAATAGAATTTGTAATTACATCCGACAAGCAGACACAAGGAAGTCATTTTATATTATGTTCTAAAAGGAAAGTGTTATGTAAATGTTGTAGATTAGCAGGTATGGTAGAGAAAAGTAGTCATGTTAATAAGTTTTTTTGTAAAGAGTGTGGCTGAGATAAATAAATAGAATATATAATAAATAAATAATCCAAGGTTTAAAAAACACATATGAAAGAATATTTTATTATCTTACTGAAGGATAAGAAGGAATGTGGCAAAACATAGTTTAAACATGCAGATGTGTAACTGTGGAATTTGCATATGTTATGGCCACAAATATATACCTTTTATGTAAATGTAACTAATGGCAATGTAGTAATTTGTTTTTGTTTTTCAAATAAATTGCAGCAATAAAATCAACATCATGACAACATTTATCTTGGGCATCTGAACCATTTCCAAAAGATCTGTCTTCCTCATCAGAAGAGTTCATTACAATAAATTTTGACCAGGCTTTAAAATGGGATTGAGGTGGTCTCACAGTTTACAGTGTTGTATTCATGAATGCAATAAATGGAAGCCATTTTTCAACAAAAGTGTCATGACTTATTACTCTCTTATTTATTATCTGATAGTTTATCTAAAAACCATAGATCCCATACTCTCTTCTTCCAGATATCTAAGGAAACATTTCCAGTTTTCCAACAACTAGCAATTTCCATTCAAGCACCAGCAATCAGGAAAGCTGTCAAATTTTTGTTTCAAGTGTCTATTTTCTTTGGAATAGGTAAAGAACAATAAACGTCCAGGACAGTATTTAATATACTCTCTAGTAATTATTACAATTAGTTTTAAAACATTAAACCAAAATGAGTTTGGTTTAGGGTACTCTAACTACATATGGATGGATGTTCCAATAACTTCACACCCTCTCCAACATTTTGGCAATACACTGTTCTCTGTCCTCATTAATGTAAGGGGAATAAAGTACCATTTCTGGACAATTTTTAAAGCATTCTAATTAATGCAGACCAGGATTTAAAATGAGGTGTTGAGCACATATTATCCCAATTTTTTTTTCTGAGATTTTAAAATTGTGTACACCAGCATAAATGTGCAAAATTTAAACAATTATGGATAGCTGAAGTTTGTTGCTCAAAATTTTCACATATTTTCTCTAATAGTCTCAGAACTTCTCCTTTGGTCATAAACTTCACTGGAAAGCAAGAGACTTGATAAAGATGAAGCCATCTGAATGTCAGCAGCTCAAATTTTGTAATTAACCCATCTGTTGTCTTTGGTTTCCCACTACTAAATATATTTAATTCTGTATAAGCCTTTATCTTTCTATTTTTGGGATTACTGAATTTGTCTGAGTGTTGAAAGGACATAATGGCAAAGGATCAGGTGATGCAACACGTTTCCATTTATTTAATGTGGTAATTGACAATTGTAACCAGGGGTTATTAATTTCCTTAATTCTTGGTCCTGCTACTTTTTTAAATAAAAGGTTAAGTTCAGCTGGGAAATCGTCTTGTCTTTCCATTCTCATCCAGTTAGTGGAAGCATCTTGTATAATGAGATGGGGTACCTGAGTTAATTGAAAAGCTGCAAAATACAACTCTAAATCAATGTAGTATGCAAATTAAAACCAAAAGGTCTGGTAGTCAAGTAGTTTCAAGTAGAAATAGTTTTGTGCTTTTCCTACACAATTTCCCTCCATCTACTAGCACAATATGCTGATTTTCTCTGAAGGAGAACATACTGTGCCTACCCAAAAAAATATTTTCCTCTTCTGAAATAGTTGCAACTATTATCTGCCTTACTTTAACAATCTTTACCATTTACATAACCTCTAACACCTTCATTAGTCACTTTCCAGTAATGGAAGAAAACATTGTGTCTCATGAGGCACTCTCAGGCTGTAAACCATTAGTACAAACTTGGAGAGAGTCAAAGAACAAAATGTAGCCATGCCTTGAGTAGATAAGATTAATGGTAGGATGCGACTTGAAGATAAATATGCCAAGCTATTTAGTATTTATTTTATTTAGCTATTTAATATTCATAATCAATATCTTGAAGGCTCAAGCATTAGTCAGTATTAATGAAGTAATGAAAGGACTAACAGAAACAGGCAATACTTGAGGATACAGAACTGGCAGCATTCAAACTTGGTTAGCACAACACAGGTATAGTGACCTTCAGATACATTGATTCTCTACTTTCTTCATTCATGTGGTTGAAAGGAAGAATTCTAATACTTTCAATTTCACATGTGCTTAACTCATTTGCAGTGATAGCCAAACAAATGAACTATTGTTATCATTAAGGATGCTTAGAATAAGTGAACCCCAAATTCTAGTAGAAGAAGCTGATTTATGTAAATTAGCCATGGCTAGTTGGCAAGACATGGGACTAGACTTCATATCTAAGGTGTGGTTAATTAAAGACAGATGTGGAAGCTTCTAAACCTTTTAGTCACACCAAAGGAAGAAGGAAGGGGAAATGCATGCATATTATTTCTTCACACTGTGCTAAACCATTACTTAATCTGATGCTCAAATGCAGCCAACTCACCCCCTCTGCAGACCAGGGCGTTTGGGACGCCCTGGTCCGGAGTGCCGCGGGGCTATGGCAGCCCCACCGCGGCGCTCCTAGAGCGACCCTGAAAGGAGCGCCAAAAAGGCACTCCTTTCATAAGTCAGAGAAAGGGCGCCCTAAAAGCGGCGGGCGCCCTTTCTCTGACTTATCCCCCGCAGCGCGTCCGGACGCTGCGGGAGGAGGTCGCCCTGAACGCGCCGGACGTCCGGTGGCCCGGAAGCGTTCAGGGCGACCTCAGGAAGAGGAAGGGCCGCCGCGTGTGCGGTGGCCCCTCCTCTTCCTGGCCTTGGAGACGGCTCAATTAAGCCGTCTGCCGAGGCCCAAAGTGACAAAGTCAGAAGGTAATATTTCATCCACTCAATGTTTTCCACAGTAATATCCTTTATGGAGTACAGTTTATCTTTAAAATCCAGTTTCACTCAAGTTTGGTGCTACTAAACAAAAAAATAAGGAATCATTGGCCTCAACAGATTTCCACTCTGAAATAATCCCACAGTTGTTGGTTTTCTTAATGGCAATGTTATACACTGCTTTACATATTTACTTTTCCAAGTGAGATAATGAAATGACAGAAGTCCTAAATGATACAGGTACCCTCCTGATGAGCATCAGACTGGCTCAGAAATAAACCATGCTGTTTCTTCAAAATCAGTTAGTAGCTGTCCTAAGTAGCTGGGGTGGGGGAGGAAATATGGCCTAATTCTGTGTCCTCAGCCACCAAACCCTCTTCCCTTCACTAAGGGCCTCGGCAGACAGCTAATTGCGCCGTCTCCGAGGCCCGGAAGAGGAGGAGCCGCCGCACGTTCGGCGGCTCTTCCTCTTCCTGAGGGCACACCCGGAAGTGCCGGCCATCCGCACGGCCGGCGACTGCGGGTTGCCCTCACGCCGCGGCAGCCGAACGCGCCGCGGCGTTTGAGCCGCCGAAAGTGCGCCCGCCGCTGTTAGGGCGCACTTTCGGCAGAATCTAAAAGGATCGCCATTTTGGCAGTCCTTTTAGATTCGCCGGGGATGCGCCGCCGTCCGGAGGCTGAACTCCGGTGGCGGTCCGGACCAGGGCGTCTCCGACGCCCTCGTCTGCATCCCCCCTAACCTATCATTGAGGACCTAGAGAAAACTTCCCAAAGGTAAA